CTTGTGTCAAACACCCTATCCCAAGACATGTTGGACTGAAGAATTTTATTCCCTTTTTCAAAGTTTATAGTCTTTAAGTTTTTCCCTCGTTTAGCTGAGTGAGGGTATGAAACTAAAACAGAGCTCGAAACCAGTCTTTGACACAACAGAAATCGAAAGCTTCCCTCTTTCTTTGTTGTAGTAAGTCTAATTCTCCACTCCTTTTTTGGAACAAATGACAGTTTCCTGTACACGAAATTTGACACAGGACTAACAGGGCAGTGCAAATGGTACAGTCAGTTAATGGTCAGTTAAGTCATTGCTTACGCCTTCGATTGGAAGTCTCGTTTGGCTCTCTATCTTTGCAATAAATACTCATCAAAAAACAAACTGTTAGACAATCAAAGATGATGCTATGGAGATTTTCTGAGTGATGATAGCATCGTTATCAGATGCTCTTCATCAATGGGCCCTTTTTTTTACGGAGATATCATTAGTAAGGAATTCCAGATTACAGGCGGTCGAATAAGTTTTGTCGCAAATGACATCGAGCAAATAGGATCCTTCATTGAATCACAAACCTTGCTGGGTAGCGGTCGTAATCTCGTAGTAAGAAATGAACAACGTTCTAATCTGCTTATCGTATTGCCCTAATGTGTCCCTATCGCTGCACTTACCACTCACTTTCGTCACACTCCTCTACCTGTCATCTCGTCTTATCGAATGAAACATACTGAATGGTCAAAGCTACATCGTAGATACCGAATATGTTAGGATTTCGATCGGTACGTGGCACTCTTAGATCCTTTATTTTCTCTTATCAGTTTCTGTCACCGAGTCCCTACGTTCCCGTCGTATCACCTGCATCACCTATTAGAGTGCTGAGGTTTCACTGGTAATACGAAAAGTGTGATCCTATCAAATTTGAACGCTCCCGGCCCACGTAAGCAGGAGTTATAAATTTGCCGCCCAAAATTACTGTCGCGCACGCCCCGCTCCCTATGCATGGAGTCCGGTCCTCCCAACTACCATAAGTGTTCCCATGCCGCCTCTGTACTCCTAGCGTCTTTGAACGCTTTGGGTCCACTGGAGCAGGAGCTGTTAACTTGCAACCTAAAATTTCTATCGCGCACGACCTGCCCCCTGTAGGTGGAGTCTGGTCCTACCACCTGTCATAAGTGTTTCCATGATGCCCCTGCACTCCTGTCAAATTTGAGCTTTCCAGGTCCCCGGGAACAGGAGTTATGAATTTGCGGCCCAAAATTTCTAACGCGCACGCTGCGCTCCCTGTGAACGAAGTCCGGTCCGGCCACCTACCATAGGTGTTCCCATCCTGCCCCTTTACTCCTACCAAATTTGAACGCTCTTGGTCCACGGGGACAGGAGTTATGAATTTCCGGTCAGACACACACACCGACACACACACACATGAACACACACATTATGAATACCAAAGTTGTCGTCCNCTTCGATCGGTACGTGGCACTCTTAGATCCTTTATTTTCTCTTATCAGTTATCATCAGTTTCTGTCACCGAGTCCCTACGTTCCCGTCGTA